AGGAGGGCTCGTTTGTGGTGGAATTATTCTGGGTTCCAGAACTGACCTGCATGTTCAAATTGGAACCATGACAAGCCAGATCTATCGGGACGTCATTCTGGAACAACATGTACGTTTGTTTCGGGGCGCCATGGGCGCACAATTTGTGTTTATGGATGACAACGCCCGTCCTCACCGTGCAAACATCGTAAGCGAATGCCTTCAATCGGAGGATATCACCCGTATGAACTGGCCAGCATTCTCACGGGGCTTGAATCCAGTAGAGCACGTGTGGGACATGCTTGGCCGACGATTTGCAGCCCGTCAACCTCCTCCTACATGTCTACCGCAACTTCGGAGAGCATTGCTTTTTGAGTGGTGTAATATCCCCCAAGATCAGATCGATAATTTGATACTCAGCATGCCTAGGCGTTGTACGGATTGTATTGCATCGTCTGGGAGACATACAATGTATTAACAATCATACCAACCATGTAATATTGTTTTTTTGTAAATAGGTGTTTTTTGTAATTTGCTCCAGGAAGAAAAACTCGATAATTTTTTTAATAATATCAAACATATAGCATCTTTTTTTGCTCTTTACCTTTTGTTTAATAAATAAGCTTTACAAATAAGTTAAATTGTTTTGCTTCTAACTCTTCCTTTGCCTGATTTTGCATTATCCTTAATTTATGGACATGAGTGTATTAGGATTTTAAGGATATACAGTCCTTAGATTTAGTCTAAGAATAATTTGACCATCTTGGATAAGGATAACTGGTTACTAGGCTAATGATAATTTTAGAGTCATTGGGTCACCTCCAAAAATCAGGAAAAACCCTCGGCCGGAATTCGAAGTCTGGATCTCCTGCCTCGCCCTATACAGGTGGTGACGAATTATCCTCCACTACATTTTAGTTCGGGTTCAGTTTCTAGAGTCATAAGGTTTACTTCGGAGCATGAAACAGGATAAATTTGCGATGCTTTAGCCGGGATTCAAATCGCAGACTTCTCGACATGGCTTCCAATTATAACCCGAAGGCACGCAGTTAGAAAGGAGAAAATTCCTTATATATTACAAAAAAAAAAAAAAAAAAAAAAAAAAAAAAAAATCAACAGAATTCGGCATCAGTACCCAATGCTTAGATATTTCGAAAGGATGAGAATAATTTGGGGAAGTAAATACAGATTAAAGAGTCCATTCGTTATCCTGCAACATGTGACTTCAAACATAAAAATTAATTATCCAAGCTTATTTCTCCATTTACGTAAATTACGAAAGTGAAATTTCAACATTAAATGAATTTATTTGAAAAATTCAAGTACCTGCACTTAAATATCTACAAAGTTTTGCCTTGAATATTTATTCAATTTCGGTTTCGGATAGGAATTTTATGATTAGCTGGTTCCCGTCACATGACCAAGATATCGCAAGTTTCAACATTCTGAATAATCTAAAAGGCTGTAAACAGTATATATATTAATTACAGACTAAATTTCAAGATTTAAGACTACAGTGCTCAATTCACTCGTTAATAAGAATTTTGTGAATTTACGAACTTAGCTTTAAACTCTTGACCTTTGCCAAAATAAAAGTGCCGCCTTCCGGGTGTAAGGTGCGATTGCACCATAATTCAGAAAATTACAATGATTGCCCTAAGGCAAGAAACTAAATCGACTAGTAAAAAATTACAGTAGTTGAAGCTAGTAGCAAAGTGATGATTCGTAATCCGTGCATAAAGAGTTAAAAGTGCTAGGACACTTTATTGTGGTTGGCTTTATATTTTGACACAAAGCTTTGAAAACATGCGTAGTCGTCGCAATGAATAAATTTCATTCGAAATTATTTTACTTCTCAATCAGCAAAAACTACACTCGTTGCAAATACATGTTTAACTCTTTGAAGAGCGGTGGTTACTCTTCTATTGAACGTCTTACTCACTCGTGTAAGTGGTTTTCAAGACTGACCGTTTTTAAGTTCCCTTGTAGCTCACTAGAGCTCACTACTCCCTTGTAGCACATTCCAATCAAGAAACATAAGCCAGTAGCTGATGCAGCAATCAAGAAAATAAGCATCACCCATCGAAGACAACATCACGACGATGTGCACTCTGCAGCACCAAGAAAAAGCCTGTAATAACAGTGTGGTAATGCAGCACATGTAAAGTTGCACTCTGCTTGAAAAAGAAAAACTGTTTCCATAAGTACCATAGAGACTGATTTGTAGGGATGTGTTCTGTGGGCTGTGGTCACTGACACTAACATTCAGAAGTGGTAATTTTTTTCATGCGTCTCGGACAAAATATGTGTAACTGTCGCAAAAAATTTCATTGTAACACCTGATATAGTAAATAAAACAAGAGTTTTGCTGAAAAAGTTAATTGCCTTTTCCTGCTCCTCAAAGAGTTAATATAGTTCCTGAACCCGATAGAATTATATCTGCTGCTGACTAATAGCATATGTTATATAATTTCACATTATTGAAAATAAATATCAGGCGAATTTCAATTTTTAGGCCTTATACATCTTAATGACAAAAAGATTTCACGTTTCGAAGAAATAAATTTTAAAATCCTCAACAACTAAGATCTGGCAGTCTTTATGTCTCCTGAAAATGTCAGACCACTTTTCAATTTCTAAAGAGTAAAGAACTTATTGATTGTCATTAAACAGGCTTCTGATTATTTTTAAACACAAATCCATTTTCATGTAAAGGAAACTTGCTCCGAAGAGCACACGAAATTTAAACTTTTTCATTTGTAGCCAAAGCGCCCATTCATAAGTGAAACCCAGGCAAAAATGATGATAATGTTCTGGAACATATCACCGAAATCCACGCTAAACATCACAACAGCTCGCGATAAAGTTAAAATGTTAATCAATCAACAGCGAGCCAACCGGAGATCAGAAATGGTATCGTATTTCGATATGTCAAGCTTTTGGCGGAGAAACTACTCATAGCGAAAGGTTTAAGGAAACCATTATTTTTCATGTTCCAGTTTCAGGTTTCAGAAATGGTTACTTTTAGTAAGTATTATCGATACTAAGTTCTTTTTCCTGTAATGTTCACATGGAAAATCTTTCAAGCTATTAGTTACTTTACCAGCGGCAGATATGGAAATAGTTTAGAAATTTCTAAATCTTGGAATAAAACCTTTTAACGAGGGATTTTTATATCATAATCTATCTAACATTTCCATTTTTAAGACTATGTAACAGTTTTTAATCATTTCTTTGAATTAGTTTTGAGAGTTACCAGATGCTAAATTCTGAAAAGGCGGATATTAAAGACGACGTTTCTAGCAATGTCGAAACTATGCAAATAATTTTAGATTCTTCCTATATTTTCAACAGCTTTAAAACCAATAATATAAAAGTTACCTTATACAGACAATAACACTACGCGATGCATTTTGTTTTGCAATAAAGTACGCCAGAGCAAAGAACATATTTGAAAGACAATCATAAGGAACAGAAAGAGCATTTATTCATAAGCACTGCACTCAATTTACTTGTGTCTATGTTCACATTCTTTGTTTACAAGATGAACTGTCTGCACTTACATCATTGACTACATCTTTCCAGCTTTTGATGTCTAGCATTTTTAGCAGACATAAAAAATGTAAAGCTTTTTTTAATAGATATGTGCGCATTTTATGGTGATATAAACAAATGGTTAACTCTATGTGATAGTAATAAAATACATTAATACCTACACAGAATTTCGCGAATTCATGGAAATAGAAAATACTATAACGAATGCACTCGTTTTCGCCCATGCATGATTATTTCGAAATTTTGCTTACTTTTTTTCGATATTTCTGGAATACCTGGAATTTCTGGTATGCAATTTTTTAAACCCTTTACAATTTCTATAAAAAGTTTTAAATATATTTACAGAGAAATTTAGTACATGAGTGAGACACGTAGTTTCAAACCTCGTTGTTCCAAGGGTCAACTGCATTTATTTTCATTTGTTAAATTTTGTAGTTTTCTTTTTCATTTTTTTTCGAGAAAAGTACTAAGATTATAAAAATATTCTTACAATTTTTACAATCTAACATTAATATATTTATAATATATTAATATACTTAATATTAAGGCTTCGCTTAACCAGAAATGTGGAAAAGCTCTTTTGTATAAGTAAACAAGAATTAGCTTTTTCACTGTAAACCTTTATACCTTTGCGTTATTTTCACATGGTTTCAAATGAAGACGCTCTCGATTACAGTAGTGATTTTTATTTCAAATGGCCAGGAAAGCATCTTTTCATTGTATTTCAGTGTTTTCATATGATTTGATTCCAAAATAAAGTAAAAAAAAAAAAAAAAAATCTTGTGACTTCTCAAACGGTTTTTTTCCCGACAAATGGAACAAAATAATTTTTTTATAGTAAATCACGGTTTTCCAAGATTCCAAAACTGAATTTTCAATAGTCCGAGACTCACATGAATGGAGAATGAGTATATTCCACGTCTAACAAAACAAAATTTTAACTTGTTCTCTGTGATCTTTGAAAAATGCAGCTAGGCCCCACACTGGTGAAAAGAAATGAGATCCAAGTTTTGAACATCCTTCGATATTTAGGAAATAAAAAAAAAAAAATATTGCGTCTAGCCATCATTTTCGTCGGTGAACTAACTTTCATTTGTTGCCTGGGCATAGCTATATCCCAGTATAGCAATAATATTTCTTTTTTCAAACGTTTTATAGACACTCGTAAAAGTGAAAAAGATATTGTGTTAGCAATTGTGGATTTAAACTAAACTTTTTAAAGTTATGAATACTCAATTTTAAACTTGTGGAGGAAGACTGGATGGGAGAGAAGTAGAACAGAAGAAACTTGTTTGTTTGTACAAAATAATTTTTCAAACAATAACAGTTTGTAATTTTGACTTCTGTGGGCTGACTAAACCTGCTGTTTCTACAGCAATTTGATACAAATGAAATAATCTTTATATATTAGGTATATTTGCTATAATAAATTCACACCATAAAACTGACGTTAAGCACTCACTCACCTATGACCATTTCGTCATCCGTTTGGCTGCTTCCGATACATTCCAGTTTAAAGTTATTCAATGTGTTTGCAAGGTTTCTTTGAGCTCTGGATAGTTCTGAAAAGATAAAATAAAAATATAAGACATATAACGTAACCAAAAGTAATACATAATTTTAATAATAATATATAGTTATAATTGGCAACTGCAGAGTAAGAAAAATATAAGAATGCATTTTAAAGACATATCAGATAATTTTAATAATCTCAGTTCACGACAATTACAATAATTTTCGAGGTCTCAATTTCTGATATTTCATAGTTTAGAAACCAAAAAATACATAACGATCCCTGAGATATTTTTGACAAGTTATTTTTTCAACACGATACTCGCACGATGCTGTCTAATTATAAAATGTACTGTTTGGAATTAGGGATTTTGCTGCGCTTAATCTAAATATCTGAAATCTTGTAACTTTTCATGTCTACTGGTTATACGTTTTGAACAATGCGGCCCTCGATACTTCGCAATTTTCTTTGGGGGAGGGGCGAAATCAAATCTAAACAAAAGCTTAATTTGATTCAGAAGTCAAACAACAAAAATCAGCGTTAATTCACAAAATTTTCACAGGACTAGTTTCGATGGTTTTACCGAACCATCATCTTCAGCTGCAAAACCGCAAATGAACAAGATAGGAAATGTTCCTATCCTTTTCCTATCTTGTTCATTTGCGGTTTTGCAGCTGAAGATGATGGTTCGGTAAAACCATCGAAACTAGTCCTGTGAAAATTTTGTGAATTAACGCTGATTTTTGTTTGTTTGACTTCTGAATCAGTATTTATTCGGCGTGTTATTGTGTCTTAAAAGCTTAATTTGTTTTTGAGGTAGATTCTTAAAACTCCTTACACTCATAAAACCTTCATTCCTTACAGAAATTTTATAAGTCATTTGATATCAAAAATAAAGCGCAAATTAAAGTAGATTTCTTCAAAAAGCTTTATGAATTTAAACAGAAAATGATAATGACTCTATTCTAACAAAAGAAGAAATTTTATGCATTATTTACCAAATATGCAAATTTTAAACAAACGTAATAAAATTAAATAAATTATGAAATCCACTACTGTACCATCATCTATTGAACAAAACAGAAAAGAAAAGATTTAAAAAAAAATCTGATACTAGGATTTTAATAGCTTTGGGAACAACGCGATTACGATTACAATCTTTCCACACTTATCAAAATCTATTAAAATAATAAATGATTAAAAGTCCGTAATTAGAAGGCTTAAGTATACAGTCTCTGGCTCATGAAGATGAAACTAATGAGGAGGGAGCTGGAGAAAAAACGACTTCGACGAAGAAATGGCAGATTCCTTGCTTGCAAACAGAAAAGTTCGCCATCGGTTTCCTTCTGCATAATCTTCAGCCCGAATCAGTTTAAATTCAATTCCAGTTTCTCTTTCAGTTCCAAATTTTTAAACAAAGTTTGAAATGAAATGAAAATAATTTAAATTAAATTTTCATCTAAAACTTCATTAATGAAGACACAGGTTCAAAATTCGAAATTTTCACTGTTATTCTAATACTCTGGAGGCCATCCCAAGGAGCACGTCTCCAAAAATATACGTATAATTTTGGTGAAATAAGGGTATGGTATTTTTTGCACGTTACTTTTACGAAATTTATACGAATGAAAAAGGCTGAAGTTACTGTTAACTCTTGATCGTTATTTTCCACACGTTATTTTTACGAAAATTATACGAATCCGAATGTACTGATAAAACTACCGCCATGATGGTATATTTATTCGTCACTTTTACGCATATTATACGAATCCGAATGTTCTGAAAGAAACTACTGCCTTTATGGTATATTTCATTCTTCACTTTTACGGATATTATACGAAGTCTAAAAAGATTGAAAATGAAGTTTATTAATTCAAAATATTTAGTGTATTTCTGGCATTTCACTTTGTTTTCCTTGTCCACGAACATGAAAAAAGGGGCATTCATATATGAGGCTAAAATTTTTCTATAAATTTTAACATGTGAGCTATATTAATTTACACAATTTAATTTCTTTTATGAAAATCCTATTACCCATTTAACTGGAATAAGCTGTATATTAAATTTGTGTACTTACTGAGTTTGGTACAATACTCTCCTTATTTTATTTAGCAAATGTGGGCAACTGAATTGGAATAAGACTAGCAAATCTTTCATGTCGAGGAATATAATAATAAATACAGCAGAAGATGCTCGAAAACGTTTAACTTCTTGAACAATAGTTTAATGTAGACCAAAGGATCATTAATTATAATCAAAGATATACTAATATTTTTATTTAATAATAATAATAATAACTCTACGAAATTGCAAGCTGAATCATGATATTTTACATATATTTCAGTTCCTTTAATCTTTGTTATAAAAATCATATGAGGCTAATTTTTTTAAATTTTGTTTAATGTACGGAAAAAATGATATAGCGATTTTAATAATTTTTATATGAGGAAAAAATTAATAAATAATGTAAATAAATAATTATATTATATTTTTCCTGAAACAGTTAAAGACATTCTTAATATGGAGATCTACAGAATAAGTACAAGGGTCCAGTTAAATGAACTCAAAATTTGCATAGTTAATTTTACGCTATAAAAATTAACCGGATTTACGATTATACATTGAGCATGCGCATATAGAGACATTTCTATTTTTCGTAGAAAAATTTAATTATTACCTTAATACAGAGATGCTGTGAATATAAATTTATATAATGCAAAAGTAAGTTTATTTTATATGCTAATTAAGAGGCTTTCTTAATATGTTTAATTATAAAGAAAAAAAAAGCGTTGCAATTCTTGTTCACTGACCAATGGCAAAGCAGACACTTTCTAACTTCCGGTTGTGGCGGGATATTTGTGAAGTCAGCACTCAGCAATGGCGGTCGAAAAGAATGGTGAAGTCGCAAAGATACTGTTTGTTCGTGGATTGGCGTTTGTGACAGAATCCATCGATGTTACTAATTATTTGAAGAAAGTAAGTGAATATTTTTATATTTACAGTGTTTAATACTCGTACTTTTTTCATCTATATAAAATTTTATAAATAAGCGTCTGTGTAGGAAATGTGATTTTCCATGTGTTGTTCTTTTGTGCACGTGCCTAATGATTCATTTTCAGGCATTTGGTACTGTTTAATGACATAGAATACCAAATCAATAAATTGAAAAATTTTGCACTAGGTCTGTTTCTTACTGTTTGTGTCACTTCCTGTTTGTATATGTGTCTCACCTTTTTATAGTTATATTATTATTACTCAAACGTTTTAATATTTATCTTAAAGCATACTTAATTAAGCAGGAAATAGCTTTTATGGAAAAAGAAAGGCAATATTAACATGACTAATTGTTCAGAAATCTGTTATGAAATGTTATCTACCTTATGCCAAAAAATAAAGCATGTAACTTTCATTTTTATGAAATTCAAAATTTTTATTTGCTTAGTGTTTTCCCTAAAAATAATTTAATTTCTTATTTTGAATTTAGTTTTATAAATTTGCTTTAATATATAATCTTTAACTCAAAGATATTGTGCTGTTAAAAAAGGAAACTTTATGCCATAGAAACACAGGTACTACACAGGTTCCAAATCTGTGTTCATTTTTTTATATATATACTGAATTTTTATGCACTAGTAATTACTGAAATATATCCTTTCATGAATAATAAGTAAGTCCTAAGTCCTTTCATGAATGCATTTCTTTTTTGTTTGTTTGATTTTGTTGTTTTAAAAGATCTGCCATAGTTAAAGAAAGAAAATAAAGTAAGAATGCTTTACTTTCAGTTTTGAATAAATTTATTACTATTTACTGCAGCTTCAAGTTTCTCTAAACATAATTTTCGAAGTCAAAACTTGATAGTTATGTTGATTATTAGACTTGCATGAAAAATTTATTGAAAAATTAGTATTTGATCTAAAGTACCTTAAATTATTTGAATTATATTTTACTAAATCATGTATTTTGATATAACTAGATAGTTAAAAAAATTTAAATTGAAATGTGCAGAAATGCTTATATAAAACCAGAAATTGTTTATATTTTTGTTTGCTTTTTCCCTTGTACATTAATTATATATATATATTACAGTCTGGGGAGTCAGCACCCTGCTGAATTGTAGTAAACGAGACGTCCAATCTGTGTTTATTTTATATGGTTGGGTACTGCTCAGTTATGATTACAAGTTGTACACAAACATCGTTTATTCTACATTTCATCTACTATCTATATTACAGTTATGGTTAAGATATATAAAGATACAGTTACAGTTACATATATAACATCTCCCTTTTTATAAAAAATAATAATAGTAGTAAAATTAAACATATTCTTTTAAATAATAAGGTTTCTTAACAGTCCTACAGATCGAGTGACGTAGTTATGTCCATTTGAAAAATTTGATGATACTATACTTCTTTTGCTATTTGGTGACACAACACTTCTGTTAGTTTGAAGGACTTACAGGCACATCTAAATTTGAAGTGCTCCTACTATTTTCATGTATCTCGGTTTTCATCTATAACTTCATTCTCATAGTTGTTTTGTATTGCAACTCTTCCTGATTAGTTCCTTTAAGACGGTCTCTTCTGTTCCTTTCTACAATTCTTCCATCTGTTCTTATAATCCTATTGAACGTGGTCTTTCTGCTTCTCTATTAATTTCCCTTTTCATTAGTTTTTCCCTTTCTTTTATGTAAACATGATCTCTGTTTTCAGTCGTTTTAATGGTCTTGCATTCCTACCATAATAACTTTTTTGTAAGATTGTCTCTTCAGTAAATGTTGTTTATGGTCTTCATATCGTTTAGCTTGGACAAAATTCTCTTTATAGGCATCAATCCCATTTACTTTTCTTCAAACATCATTCTGAAGGTGACTTAATTTCATCTGAAATAGGAGAGTTACGATATTCCATTAAAACTAATATGGATCCTTGTTGTCAACTACAGCTTTTCTAACATTCGCTTGACAGTTTGAATAGTCTTTCAACCATTCCATTAGACTGTGGGTATTTTGGACTTGAAGTTCTGGTTTCAAAATTCATCTTCTTGCAA